AATATTTTAAAAAAATCAATGGTGTCTGCTATGCATTATGAAGGACTATATCTGATATTCTTAAATATGAAATAATAATTCCATTGTACTCAGTGGTGAAAATGGTAATGAACAATTTAAAAGACTTCAGCATACTTATATGAATTGCTGAATCCTGCTTTTTTTCTTTTTAAGGGTAGCAGTGTCCCTTTAAATCACTGGGATGATGCAGAAGCCAGTTGAATAATCATTTTTGATCTATTATCTGATGATAAATGCATGTAAAGATTTGGAATTAACATAATGCTGTGGATTTAGGACTAACATGTAAATCTTGAAAAACGATGACTGAAAGCCCTAATAGCAGCTATTCATTTCATTGAGTAATGGGATGTGTGTTATAATGTTAGTGTGACAGAAAACAATGAGGGTAGGGTTGCAGTAGCTCAGGGGTAGGCAACCTATGGCACGCGTGCCGCCTTCGGCACGCGAACTGATTTTCAGTGGCACTCACACTGCCCAGGTCCTGGTCACCGGTCTGGGGGCTCTGCATTTTAATTTAATTTTAAATGAAGCTTCTAAACATTTTGAAACCTTATTTACTCTACATACAATAATAGTTTAGTTATATATTACAGACTTATAGAAAGAGACCTTCTAAAAACTTTAATATATATTACTGGCACGCGAAACCTTAAATTAGAGTGAATAAATGAAGGCTCGGCACACCACTTCTGAAAGGTTGCTGACCCCTGCGGTAGCTCTTCCATTAGAAACCCTTATTTTCAGTAGCTGATAGACTTTGAATTTTTCATACTTTTGGCTTAAATTTTTCACACTTGGTGTCAACCTGGGGGTGAATTTTACTTTTATTTTATTTTTTATTATTTATTTATTTACTTATTTTATTATTTTTTCTGAAAACTTGAGTACAAACCATTCATTTTTTTTTTGTTAGGCAATGGTGAAAAACATACATTCCCGTTACTCTGAATTAGCCCCAGCCTGATGACCTTCAGTGTATGCTGCAAAGCTAATCTTTTCACCAGGCATTTGGGGTGAATTGTCGGAGAGAGAGAGAGGAATGGAGGTTTAAGCTTTTAAGTTGCCTGGCTTGCTGGTGATGTAGAGTTGTACTGCCACCCTTTGCGGGCACTAACCTATGTCTAGGGTCGCCAGCTCAATGGGGATAGGTATCCTTTTTTTAGCTTTTGTGTACATCTAAATTCAAGCACTAAAGCCCTGATAATCTGTGGCACACTGGATATAAATTCTGTCAGGAGGCCACCCTGGTTTCTGTTGCACACAGTGCAGCTGAACGAAAATTCCATAGCAGCTACAGAAAAAAGAAAAAATCCAGGTTTTTACTGAACTTTCTGCAAAAATGGCTAGTGCAAATCAGTACAATATCCCTAGTAATGTTTGTTTAGGCATCAATCCTGCCAACACTTAAACGTGAGTTTAACTTTAAGCACTTAAAGTCAGTGAGACTAAGTTAAGCATGTGTAAGTGTGTTTGCAGGACTGGTCCTTGGAAGATGATGATGATTAGTTTTTTAACTCTGGCCTAAATTTATAAATGTCACTGCTGCAGGTTTTTGTATTGAGCACATGCAATTAAATTTAGAAGTCTTCTGGGGCGGAGGGAGCTAGCAATTTTGGCAAGGGAATAGGTCACGTTGGGCTCTGGGCAGCTGGAACAGTGTGAGAGGTGTGGTAAGATGGTCTATCTTAGGCCCTGTCTACACTGGCAAGTTTCTGTGCAGTAAAGCAGCTTTCTGCGTTGTAACTCCCGAGGTGTACATATTGACAAGCCACTTTGGCCTGGTCTACGCTGAGGGGAAGGAGGGGGATTGATCTAAGTTACGCAACTTTAGCTACGTGAATAATATAGCTGAAGTCAATGTACTTAGATCTACTTACCGCGGTGTCTTCACTGTGGTAAGTCGACGACTGATGCTCTCCCATTGACTCCGCCTGCACCTCTTGCCCTGGTGGAGTACTGGAGTCGACGGGAGAACGCTCGGCGGTCGATTTATCATGTCTAGACTAGACGCGATAAATCGACCCCCGCTGGCTCAATTGCTGCCAGTCGATCCAGTGGGTAATATAGACAAGCCTGTTGTTGAACCGCTCCTTGCTTCTGTCAAGTTGCCCCGTGTATGGCTTCATAAGCCACAGCATTAAGGGGTAGGCGGGGTCTCCCAGGATCACAATGGGCATTTCGAGTTCCTCGCTACCCCCTCCGTCTTCCCACAACTCTTAGCGGCAAAAGAGAAAGAGGTTCTCTGTGGGATAGCTGCCCAGAGTGTACCTCTCTGAATACCGCTGCAAGTGCCGCAAGTGTGAACACAGTATTGGATAGGCAGCTGACAGTGTGAACACACAAAAGCAGTTTCCCTTCAGCGCTTTGAGTAGCGCTGTAACTCCCGGCACTGTAGCTCTGCCAGTATAGACATACCCTAACTCCCCTTACCCTCTCATGTTAGTTGGTTTGTACTGTTATTCCTTTACTCTCCCTTGGTGTGGAAATTGCACCAATTTCTACTCAATTGTACTGACTAGCTGACACCTGGAGGTGTGATTTACAACTTGAGGAGAAATATCTGCGCTAGCTCTGGTCAAGCTAGGACACCAGAAACAGAATGCAGTTGCGGCAGCGTGAGGAGCTAGCCACCCTGGCTGCATACCTATCTGAGACTTTAGGCATGTACTCCGGGCAGCTAGCCCCTCCTGCTGCTTGCACTGCTATAGCTACACTCTATTTTTAGCATGCTAGTATGAGTATGTGTCTCCTTGAGCTGGAAATTATATCCCTAGCTTGAAATGTAGCTGTACCCTAAATATTACCCTATATCTTAATATCTCTGGACAAAGGGGAAGAGTAAATTGACAGCTGCAATCTTACTGTTCACATTTCCTGATTTATGAATGAATACTGCAGTAATGTAAGTACTGATTCTGCTGTCATTTTGCTGTATGTTGGGGTAACTCCACTGAATAGAATTACAACAGTGTGAGTAAGATCTGATTCAGGGCCATAGCTTTTTTGTGGATACAGATGGAATCCAGTGTATGTGTTCATATGCACGCACACACAACAGGTGTGCTGTATGAGCAAGCATACAAGAGGCTGTAATGTGATAATTGCAGGCCTTGGGGGCATGCAGAAATTCACACTGGCTCAGTGGATTTTAAATTTCATGGCAGTGCAAATCTAGAATTCCTATTTGGTGCCAGTTGGGGTAAGATTACATCTGACTTCTTGCCAGCAAGTTAAAGAAGTATGGGCTGGATGAATGGACTGTAAGGTGGATAGAAAGCTGGCTAGATTGTCAGGCTCAACAGGTAGTGATCAATGGCTCCATGTTTAGTTGGCAGCCGGTATCAAGCAGAGTGCCCCAAGGATCGGACCTGGGGCCGGTTTTGTTCAATATCTTCAGTAATGATCTGGAGGATGGCGTGGACTGTACCCTTAGCAAGTTTGCAGATGACACTAAACAGGGAGGAGTCGTAGATACGCTGGAGGGTAGGGATAGGATACAGATGTGATGGGTTGGATCACAGAAACCCCCTTGGGAGCTGCCATCTAATGTGCCAAGACTACCTCTGCTCCAGTTTTCCCTGCCAGCTCAGGACTCCAGCACCCTATCTTGCTGAGCCAGACACTCCCGTCTGCTCCAACAAAGACCCAGGGTCTGAATTACTTGCCCCCAAAGCTGCAGGTTTACCTGAAAACAGCTCACAGAAGTGTGCTTGTCTTTAGCACTCAGATGTCCAACTCCCAATGGGGGTCTAAACCCAAATAAATCCGTTTTACCCTGTATAAAGCTTATGCAGGGTAAACTCAAAAATTGTTCGCCCTCTATAACACTGATAGAGAGATATGCACAGTTGTTTGCTCCCCCAGGTATTAATACATACTCTGAGTTAATTAATAAGTAAAAAGTGATTTTATTAAATACGGAAAGTAGGATTTAAGTGGTTCCAAGTAGTAACAGACAGAACAAAGTAAGTCACCAAGCAAAATAAAATAAAATGAGCAAATCTATGTCTAATCAAACTGAATACAGATAATCTCACCCTCAGAGATGTTTCAGTAAGTTTTTTCCTCAGACTGGACATCTTCCAGGCCTGGGCACAATTCTTTCCCCTGGTACAACTCTTGTTCCAGCTTAGGTGGCTCTCCTCCCTCTGTTCTCTTCCACCCATTTATATATCTTTTGCACAGGGCAGGAATCCTTTGTCCCTCTGGGTTTCCACACCCCCCTCACTGGAAAAGCACCAGGTTAAAGATGGATTCCAGTTCAGGTAACATGATCACATGTCACTGCAAGACTTCATTACCCACTTGCCAGCACACACGTATACAGGAAGACTTACAGGTAAAACACAGCCATTTGCAGACAATGGTCCTAGTTAATGGGAGTCATCAAGATTCCAAACCACCATTAATGGCCCACACTTTACATAATTACAATAGGCCCTCAGAGTTATAGTTCATATTTCTAGTTTCAGATACAAGAGCGGTACATTTATACAAATAGGATGATCACACTCAGAAGATTATAAGCTTTGTAATGATACCTCACAAGAGATCTTTTGCATGAAGCATATCCCAGTTACATTATATTCACTTATTAATTTTTTATAAAACCATATAGACTGGACAACGTCACACCCTCCTTCTGAACTTACTGCCAGAGACTTGGACGCTGACCATGGCGGAGGCAGTATACCTAAAATTTGTTTTTGGGCTCCCCTATGGGGCAGACACTCCTGTATCCCCCAAAAGGGAAAGAGACCCTGATCCAGCTGTAGGCTCACAGCTACCAGCTATGACAGACCTTTCGCTGGCCAGCAAAATCCCCCCCCCTTTAACTCAGGTTGGGTTTGCTTCCAGCTAGAGTCCTTGGGGTTTGTTCCCACCGCAGCAGTCACCAGGACCCCAACTTCCAGCTCCAGGATACATGTCTCTGTGTACCTCTTCCAATCCATTACAGCCAGTTCATGCTTCTGGGTCTTAATTGCTTTGTCTCTTAAGTCCAGGCTGGTGGGCAGCTTTTTCTTTTTCCAGGTCAGCCTGGAAATTATTAAATTTTTATAAAACCGTATAGACTGCACAACATCACAACAGAAGGACCTAGACAAATTAGAGGATTGGGCCAAAAGAAATCTGATGAGGTTCAACAAGGACAAGTGCAGAGTCCTGCACTTAGGACAGAAGAATCCCATGCACTGCTACAGACTAAGGATCGAATGGCTAGGCAGCAGTTCTGCACAAAAGGACCTAGGGGTTACAGTGAACGAGAAGCTGGATATGAGTCGACAGTGTGCCCTTGTTGCCAAGAAGGCTAACGGCATTTTGGGCTGTATAAGTAGGGGCACTGCCAGCAGATCGAGGGATGTGATCATTCCTTTCTATTCGAAATTGGTGAGGCCTCATCTGGAGCACTGTGTCCAGTTTTGGGCCCCATACTACAAGAAGGGTGTGGAAAAATTGGAAAGTGTCCAGCGGAGGGCAACAAAAATGATTAGGGGGCTGGAGCACATGACTTATGAGGAGAGGCTGAGGGAACTGGGATTGTTTAGTCTGCAGAAGAGAAGAATGAGGGGGGATTTGATAGCTGCTTTCAACTACCTGAAAGGGGGGGGAGGTTCCAAAGAGGATGGATCTAAACTGTTCTCAGTGGTACCAGATGACAGAACAAGGAGTAATGGTCTCAAGTTGCAGTGGGGAAGGTTTAGGCTGGATATTAGGAAAAACTTTTTCACTAGAAGGGTGGCGAAGCACTGGAATGGGTTACCTAGGGAGGTGGTGGAATCTCCTTAGAGGTTTTTAAGGTCAGTCTTGACAAAGCCCTGGCTGGGTTGATTTAGTTGGGGATTGGTCCTGCATTGAGCAGGGGGTTGGACTAGATGACCTCCTGAGGTCCCTTCCAACCCTGATATTCTATGATTCTATGACTCTGCTGAATCCTCCCTGATTTGATCACCACTTCCTCTTTGGCTCAGCCCATGCCCAGATACCGATGGATCTTGTTCCAGTTCTGTTGTTGAGCCAATGCAGAAGAGGAACCAAAGTGTTGCTTATTCCTATTGCTATACTGTCTGGACATTATTTGACCAGTAGTGGGGCAGCGCTGTGTGGGGTCAGCTTTTTTTCCACATGCAACTGTTTCCCTTGCTGATTGACATTGCAATAGCAGAATGGTCAGAAAAACATGCAGATGTTAAAATGTACTACATAAGAATGACTTATTTTTATTTAGGCTGCAGCTACCATTGGGACAGAAGGAGGAATCAAACAGTAAGGGGAAGCAGGCATGTTGTGCACTACTTTACTAAGAGACCAAATAATAGTAACGATCACTGTGAAACTTATATAAAACAAGTTTCTAAGTTGTGTAAAACACAACTTTGATCCAGGAAGTAAAGGTCCTGCTTTCTACTGATGCCTGATTAGGCCCATTTTTACAAGCCGGCTTTGCAGGAGAAGAGTTTGGGACTCTGAACTGTGGGATCTGACTTCTATTTTGTTCCTGCTGTTTGCACAGAACAAGAAAAAGAAATCCTACAACATACTTGCTCGAGCATCTGGACTAGATGCTCGAGTTAAATCTGTCAGATTTGCCAAATGTGCATCTCTATGCAGATTTCCAAATATGCATAGAGCAATAAATAAGCATATAAAAAGGCAGAGATGAAGCAGAATGCAAGTATTTCACAGAAGACAGGCACCTGGCTGACCGCCAAGATGGCATGACCAGCACCAGTGAAAAAAATGTAATCCTTGGGGTTCAGATTTCAGAATTCAGGCTACATGAGGCTTTTTAGGAGCCTCTGTGGCAACACGTAAGACTACGACGAAGAAATGGTGACAGATCTCAAAAGTTACAAGCATTAAGTGGAGGAACTGCAGGATTGGCCTAGTGTCTGGAAGATAGAGAATGTGAAGCATTATGTAAGTATTTTTAAGTGAACCTCAACTCCCTCCCATGATGTTGGGTAGGTACACACTATATCAGTGATACAGATGCAGAAAATGGTGACTTGTCTGAGGTCACACAGCAGTGGGATGGTAGAAAAGGCATTAGAATCAACAATCGGTGAATTCCAGACTGTGCTTGTTCCCTGGAGGCTATGCTGCTTCCCATTTGACAAAAGGATAATTTCTTGAGGGGAGAGCAAGAATCTACTTAGATGACTTGTACAGTGAGGAATAATACAATATTTAGGATTTGCCTCTTGTTTTGGAAATAGTTTGCTTTATCACAGGCCCAAGAGAGTCTCTGGGAGGACAGCCAGGAAGGGTATCTAAGACATGTGGCAAGAACTCCGTTGGATCTGAAAATGAGAGAGCCAACCGGGATGGCTAACAAGAAAGATATTTCTTTGTTACCTGGCTTATACAGCACAATACTCTAACACAGACTCATATTAACAGCTGCTAAGAAAATTGCTAAGGATTTAAATTTAGCGTGTACTTTAACTGATTGCACTATGATCTGAGTTATCTGGAGGTATGTTTTATTGTGCCCACAGAAACGAAGGCTTTCTTGAAGTCTGAAAAGATTTATTGTGGCTGAGGCGGGGCTTGAAATGGACATGGAGGCCTTTGTGACCATATAAGCCTTGTTTTCATTATTAAAAATGTATGCTGTTAGTAAACAATTATGAAGAGTTGAGTTAGCCAGCACAGTGCTGCTCATGACTTTGGCACTGTAGACAGTGTTGTCAGCTAGTTGTGCTGCATGATACTAAACACAAGTTTGCCTACTCTATGCTGACCTCAGAGTCCTTATCAGTATCATGCGAGTTGATTCAACTTTGCACAGCTGTGTTGTAACCATATAAAATTCTGTACTGAGGACAAGCCAATAGAAATTCTATAAAATGATTTGCTATGTGCTTTTTCTTATAGGTGTACGGGGAGATTTTGGCAAACGAGTAAAGTGCCTGAAACCACTATGGCTTATTGTTAAAGACAGCCTAGCCAGCAAGCTGTTAAAAGCAAGTCTCAGCTTGACCAAGGCAGGAGGGGAGGGGGTTTTGGGGTGCCACGGAAGGGGCAGCTTGACCACCCGTCCTTCCTGATAAGAATTGTGTTGAAGTTGCTGATACATGCATTTTAAAAGAGCAGGAATATCTATTGGGGTCTCAGAGCTGCAGACTCTGGAAAAACCCACACCTGGTTAATCAATAATCAGAAGGAGCCTCTTGCTTGAAACTGCTTACTTGACAAGTTTTCTTTAAGGGACATGTCATTGTATTACTAATGTATAAATAAGGGGAAAAGCTTGAGATAGGTGGGACTTGTTTGGGGACTGGTCTCTCCCTCTGGATGCATCTTGTGTTCCCCAGCGGCAGATGGGCTGCCACTGTGTCACTCGAAAGCCACACTCAGCTTTGGTAATTATCAAGGTTTGGGGGTGTTTTACTAATCTTGTTGCAGACGTGTGTAAGTGCTTGAGACTAGTAAAGTTCAGCTTTAAGTGAAAGCACTCTTGTGTTGTCCTGTTTGTGCCAGCCATCTATCGGTCGGACGGTCGTATCTCCCCTGATTTATTTCCTGACACCTCCTCGCACAGAGTAAAAGTTACCAAGAGCTTTGGGTTGAAAGAACCCCGGGTAACAATAGGTTTCCCATTCCCCCGCCTAGCTGTGTAGCAGGTGAGTGTGGTTTGAGAGAGGCTCTGAAAATGAAAAGTGTGGAAGGCAATGTTATTGAGTGTGGGGCTGCCTGTAGCCAACTCTGATCTTAAGGATGTGGGTACTGCTTTGTGACGGCTCTGGCTGCATTAAATAACTGTTGTGTGTAAGACAGTGTGGTCTTGCCTCATTCATTCCCATTCTCCTGAAGTTACAAAATGATAGTCCAAACAGCCCTATTACTGCACATATGCACCAATGTATCTGTTTGATATCTGAATATAGTACATTTGAATTTTATACGAGATGGACTATTTCCTGCCTAGTAAGTTGATCTATGCACATTTATTCCATCTCTGTTAGGTTTTTGGACTCCTCAGATAGTTTGAGTGGGTTTCATTGTTGAATATTCAGAGAATAATAACTGTGCGAGGGGAAGGGGGATGATGATAAAGGGATGAAACTTTTGGTGAATGATGGACCAAAGGCCCTTGGCATATAGTACCTGTAAGTGATTCTGATCCTGATGTCCGTATCAATAGGTATTTACATTATGGCAGCCTGTGGCTATACCTACCCTGGATTGGGAAATTTAATTCCAAAAGCAATGTGAAGCTGTGTCAGATGCTCTTCCATGAGCTAGATGGATATGCTCACTTCAGTTTGTATCTTGAATGTGTCTGCATCTATTTCACTATTTAAAAGAAGGATTAATACTTTATTATTTGAAACTGCAGTGAAAGTACAATTTGACATGGGACCATGTAATTTGTTTTCCCTTGTTATGATGAGAGCTGGGCAAGATTTTCTATCCTGCAAAAATCTGAGATTCCAAATATTTTTTCTTTCTGCAGTGGGATGAAAGAAAGCCCTCTTGCAGTTTGTAATGAAAAATGAAAGATGGAGGAAGAACCAACCCACCCCTGAATAGCCAATCGCTCAGGGTTAGGCCGTTCATTTGGGAGGTTGTTAGGGTGACCAGATGTCCCGATTTTATAGAGACAGTTCCAATTTTTGGGTCTTTTTCTTATATGGGCTCTTATTACCCCCAACGCCCTGTCCTGATTTTTCACACTTGCTGTCTGGTCACCTTAGAGGTTGGAGATCCAGACTCAAATCCCTGCTTCATGTCAGGGAACTGAGCTTGAGTCTCTATCCCTCCTCCTACTACCCTCTGTGAGTGCTCTAATCACTGGGTATTGACCAGGGGTGTAATCCCTATTATTTTTGAGAGCAAAAGGGTGTCCTTCAGGATGCATAAGTCCCAGAATGTATTCCAGCCCCTACCTTGTGGCATTGACCATTTGGTGTTTCTCTGACTCTCCTGTTGGAGCTGTTCCACTTTATATAAACAACCAAACAGAGCCTGACTCTTTAGCCTAGTGGCTGTGTTACTCAATCAGGCACACAAGGGATTTGAAACTCCTTCTCCCACACCCCTGGGGAGTGTCCTAATCATGGGCTATTCTTGGGGGGAGTGGAAGGAAGGGGTTATTTTGTTGTTCTTTCTTTTTACCAGAAATGCCAGCCTGTACCTGAGAAACATTTCCCCTCCCTTCCCCTCGCCCTCAAAAAGAAAAAGATGGATTGAAATTACCCCATTCACACACCGTTGCAGTATTGACAAATAAAGCATTTTCTTATGACCACCCAAAGGACCGCTCTGCTCACGTCTCAGGTTTTCCTAGGTTTGGAGATTTCTTACCAACGTGGTTTTTATTAGATGTGAAGTTGTGCTGTCAGGGCCACTTCCCCCCGTTCTTCCTTAAAGCCCTTGCTTGTACTTGTTGGTTGATCTACAAGCGGTTCTTTTAAAAAGGGGAGGGGGGGCTGCCACCAAGTCTCAGGCCCTCCTGCCGCAGTCGGAAACCGAGCCAGCTGCTGGGCGGAGGCAAATCTCCCCCCTGGCGTTCAGTCTGACCTTGACAAATCGCCTCTAACTTGTCCTGCAAATCTGATCTCTGCGCAGCCAGAGGGCAGCGGGGCTGCTCGCGTCTTCTCCCTGGTGCTGGGCGGGGGCTCGAAGCTGCAGCCCGGCGTGCCCTGGGCAGAGCCAGAGGATGTTTTCCAACGGGGCTGGGCGCTGGCAGCGGGCCCAGCGGTTTTATACCTAACCCCGGCGAGGAGCAGAGCACCTGTTACATAAGCCGGGAGCGGGCCCCTCTCCAGGCGGGGAGGCGCGGGCAGGGCATGTCCGCCGGCTCCTCTGCCCTCTCGGGGGGCGCGGTACCAAGCTGCGCGCAGCCAGGGCGGCTGAGCGAATTGGTGCCCACGCGGCGGCAAGAGCCGGACGCTGCCCGGGGAGAGGCGAAGGGCGGGCGGCCCCGCGGGAGCTGATGGCTGGCAGCAGGCGAGCCCCGCGGTAGCCGCGAGCACGCAGCCCCGGCGAAGCGGCGGGAGGATGGCAGAGGGCAGCAACGCGGACTGGATGGGCTCCCTCGCCCCCGCCCTCAGCACCTTCCCGCTGGCCCATCTGGCCATCCCAGGTAACGCGTCCTTCTGCGCGCCTGGCTCGCCGCCGCCGGCCGGCGCTGGGAGCCAGGGAAGCTCGGCGCGGGGACGAGCCCCGCGGTGCAGCCAGGGGCGTGAGGTGCCCCGGGAGGGACAGAGCGCGGGTTAAGGCCACCAGAGTTGCCCCCTCCCCCAGTCAGGAACGTGCCCGTGTCCCGCGCTAGCCAGCCAGCCAGGGGATGCTGCCCCTCGGACAGGGATGTCGGTCCTGTGGCGGGGCGGGTTGCTCTGGGGCGCGCTCGGTGCTGCACAGGGGGTGACCCGGAGAAAAGGCAGCGCGGAGGAGGGAGCCCATTGCCGGGGGTGCTAGCCCGAGACTGGCTGGGAACTGCTCAGCGCCAGTGGTTCGGGGTCGGCTGTTCCTCTCGGAACAGGTTGAAAAGAAACACTTTGCAAAGCTCGGGGCCGGGCGCTGGGAGGGACCGTGTGAACGCACCTGCGGATTGGTGGAGGGGGGCTGATTGGGAGACTGACCCCAGACAAAGCCCCTGTTTTTATCACCCAGGTCTAGGAGATGTGAGTACCCCCAAATTACCTTCTCTAGACTTGGCTGGGGGTTGTTTCTGTTTGGTTGGTTTTTTATTTGGTTTGGTTTGAAACAACCATACCCAGTGTTGGTTGCCACTTACTGCAAAGTGTGTGGTTAGCTAGGGTAAAATTTAATTTCCGGGGTTATTTTACCACTTTCTGCTCTGGGGTCAGCTGTTCACCAGCTGAGGTCAAGAAACATTCTCTCCTCCCACTCACCTCTATGGTGTATTATTACACAAGTAAGTAAATTTATTGAGGAGGGAGTGACCTTCCCTCAGAAGCATCCAGCACTGGCTACTGGTGGAGCCAGGATGCCAGACTAGATGAATCATTGTTCTGCTCTGGTAATGCCTGTGTCTGAACACCTTCCGGAACTCAGGAACTCGTAATCTATGAGATCAATTGACTGACGTTCAATCTGGGATCTATGTCTCATCTATAGGTAGTAAAACAAGAATGAAGCAGTCTAGCACTTGAGTCTTTCTACTGAAAGCTATATAGGAATTATGGAGACCACTGTGCCATCAAGTCCAGTACATATTGCTGATCATAGCCAGTACCACCTGTTTCAGAGGATTGTCATACAGTAACATTGGCGTTTACTCCAATCCCCCCAATAGTTAGAAGTTGGTTTATGCCCTGAAGCATGAGTTTGTATCCCTTGCAATGTTATTTGTTGTTCTGATATTTATTATGACAATTCTGGGATATTCTTGTTATCCAAGTAAAATGTACTATGTGCGGGTGGGATTAGGGGGGTGGGGGAAGAAAACTACAGTAATTTGCAGGAAAACACTAAATCTCCCCCCAGTTTATCAGAAATAGAATTTCAGCAATATAAAGCAAGTTTTTCTGTTTTAAATAAAGGTTTTACTACTTAACTTTAAAAAAACAACGAGGAGTCTGGTGGCACCTTAAAGACTAACAGATTTATTTGGGCATAAGCTTTTGAAGAAGTGAGGTTTTTACCCACGAAAGCTTATGCCCAAATAAATCTGTTAGTCTTTAAGGTACCACCAGACTCCTTGTTGTTTTTGTAGATACAGACTAACACGGCTACCCCCTGATACTTAAATTTAAGTGAGGGATAAAAAGAGATTTGATGTCTATTATAACAGGAGTTATACTTTTACATGGTTTAAGCAAGATTTGTGTTTTTTTTTCTTTTGGAGGTAAAAATTGTGTCTGAATTCTGTTTGTTTGTGTGTGTGTGTGTGTGTGTCTATATATACACACTAACTGACTTTTTTAAAAGTAGCATGGGGAATCTGTCTCTCTGGTGGGATTTGCGGGATCTTTGGTTTTTGCAGAAGGGTGCAGGATAAAAATGCAAGAAACATTGTGAGCATGGGTGGGAGTGGGTATTGCAGGGTGGGACAGGAATGGGATTTAAAAAAAATAGTCCTGTGCAGGGCTCTGGTTGGGTGCTCGGATCCTGTGGAAATTCAGTGAGATTTGGCAGGAGGCAAGCTTCCTTAAACTGTTTCAGAAATCTCAGCCTGACCTTAGTCCCTTCTAGTTTTGTGAAGAGTTCATGAGTCAATCCTGGCTTTCTTCAAATTTATCAGTCATTCGTAAGTACTGGCCAGACACTTGGCCCAAATAACTTTAGGCTTACATGTGAGGTCATACAACATTTGCTTCCACTATTCATATTGTGTGTTTGGCTGCCTAAGTCACAAGTTAGTATTTCTGTTCCCGAATGACCTGAAAGCTTTTAAAACAGGAGAACAACTAATAATTTACTTTTCTGAAGTATTTTTCAAATGAATTAATAATTCATGCTAAAAATAATGAAACCTGGAATTGAAAAACATTTTCATTGATGCTTGGTGGCTGTGCAAATACTTCTGAATGACAAGTAATATAACCCCATCTGTCACAGCGAACTAGAGCTTAGACTTTTATGTAAACAACAGTGCATCTGTCATCTTCCTAGCCTTTGACCAACTCTAGTCCAAGTGAGAGATGTAGGTGGCTCCTGTTTGTAAAACAGAAAGAAAAAAATCGAGAAAGAAACCACAGCAAACACCACATTCAGGAACTAAACCTTTCTAGTACTGGCAATGTCTAAAATGGAGTCCAAATATTTAATCAAGTCAGGTTTTGTAAAGGTGAATGCTAGTATTGATATCCGTCTCAGATATGGGAACAGGTGTGAATTTCAAACAGATTCAAGCTCTGGAAGAACTGGTATTTATCTGTACTGCCTTCCCTTTCTTCTCCCATACTCTAATCCCTTTAATGTTACTTTTGAAATATATTTCTCATGTTGCTAGGTAGGGCTGGAAGCAGGCTGGGGTGATACTTAATTATTAATGCTTATGCAGTTCTTAGCCATGGGCAATACTGATGAGTAATGTAAAAATCATCCCTACTGCATATATTAATTAGTCATTCAATATGAATGCTTTATAGTAGAGACTACTTATGTTGTTCTGTAGAGAAAAGGTCACAATGTAATTGTAAGTCAGCTCACTATTTTTATATTCAGCAGATTCAAGTATAGTGGCCATTAAAATATTGTCTCTTATGCCTATTTTACAGTTGCACAGTCTCATTGTACTTAATAATCCAGTTCTGATGTAGCACTTTTCATCTGTAGATGCCACAGCACTTTACAGAGCGGATCAGTATCATCATCCCCATTTTACAGAGGGAGAAACTGAGGTTCAAGGAAGGGAAGTGACTTGTCCAAGGTCACCCAGCAGGCCAATGGCAGAGCCAGGAATTGAGCCCAAGTCCCCTGAGACACAGTCCAGTGCTCTATCCACTAGGCTGCACTGATTATGGAGAGCCTTTCAGCAACATTTGTTACCTGCAAACATCAGCTGTGAAGATTTTAGTGGTAATTGCTGTAGATTGTTCCTTATGATATTTCATTTTTGGACTCTGCTCAAGTGCAGCACTGCCAAGTTCCTTGCAATAATCTCCTAAAGCCATCATAATTTCCCCGGTATGCATGTTGTGGCAAATACATTGACGTTCTAGACATTTTCATGGGAAGCCACTGGGACATGAGGCACCCTAACTGCAACTCCCATGAAGCACCAGAGCACCTCAGCTAGATGCAGTTCACTGATGAACTGGCCCAAAACAAAACATTTTGGTGCATGAGTGTCACAATGTGTCATTTTACCAAAAACCTCCAAACAAAATATTTTGACACTTCCAAATCCATATTCTCTGGAATTTTCTATTCCACAAATGTTTTCCCCAAAATTTTCACCCCAGTAACTGACAAAAACAAACTTAGATGTTTCTCAGGAGACAGAAATTCTAATTTTCAACCAGCTGTAGCAGCGGTAATATGCGATAATAATACTAACAACAATAAAGATGCTGCTTAGATGTGTTCGGCACATGTGCCTGCTAAAGGTTGCAGACAGGATGTGCACCTGCTGTGCCATTCAGTGTATTGGATATGTCGTAACTGTCTATTAATTTCAGTCAAGTGTTGTGAATGGATATTGGCAGCATGGTAGTTGCAGCAGAGGAACCAGAAAAGTTAATGATGGTAGGCTTGGAAACCCCAACATGCTGTACGTTTCCTGATCATAAGACAGATTTTCTGTCTTTCTTGCAACCTTCACATTGTGGATTTGGTGATGAAAGTTGACAGCTAGACACAGTTGCCTGTCATGTAGCCTGTGAATACAGAAGACAGGGAGGGAGTGTGAAGGGAAGGGAAGAGTGGAAAATGCA